TCCATCAATCCCATCGCCCGCCCCTGTTACCCCACTGAGCCTTTCCTTCTCCTTTTCTTCTTTCTCAGCGGCGTAATATCGTTGCGCTGCAATCGCCTGTACGTTTGCTTGGCTTCGGACTTTCAGTATGTCATCAGGCCGCAGATCCAGACTCAAGCGCTTCCGTCTCGCTACCGAGGCACGTGAGGCAGCAGCGAGATCAAGCGTGGGAGGAGAAAGACGAGATACCTGAGAATCGAGCGGAGAAAGGGCGCATGAATTTGGAGAAGTCAAAGCGGAGTGGTCAGGAGGAGGAGTCGAGGGGAGATGCTTGAAGATAGATGAGTCTTCATTGACGTCTTTCGCCTTCCATTGAGAATACTTTTGATCGTCCTCATCTTCATCATCTTCTTCCAATGATGATAGAGCTGTCATTATTCGGGCAATCGAATGTCCTTCGGTAGCTTTCTGTGAATTCGCTCCCGGACTTTGCATCTCTTTCTCTTGTTTCCGTGTACCTTCTTCATCGTTTACCCCATGCCGAAATACGGCCATGTCCAGCGACGGTTCTTTAGACATTTCCCATCCACTTTCAGGATGTTCTGGAGGAAGCATCATCCCTTTTCGACTTTCCGTAAAGTCTTCGGGCGCCGGCTGCGTATGAGGTGTTGGAGTGGGAGGACATTCTGGTATGGCCCAACTCAGTTTTTTCTCATATCTTCCTTTCACTCCTTTTTCGTTGCCTAGCCCTACATTTAAATCATCTGGCTGCCGCGGAAGAGCTCGTAGACGTGGACTGTCGCTGTCATTACTGCTCCCTTGTCGTCCGAATGCCGCATGCTGCTGCTTTCGCGGAAACAGTTGCCCTCCCGAGGACTTTCCCAAATGAAGACTACTTCCTGCGCACTCTCCTATCCCTATCCGCGGTGATCCTGCCCATGCCACTTTGGGTGCTGTCATACCAAGATTCGTCGGTATTGACCCGTCCTCCTTTCCCTCTTCGAAGATCCCTCCCCCTTCCCTTGCCTGTCTCTCTCGCATCGACGCCGTCATTGCAGCATTAGCTGCATCAGCCCGGGCTTCGACCTCTTCGTACAGTTTTCTCTTCTGAACTAAGGCCATACGCCGTAGAAGTGCGACATTCTGGATGGTGGGTTGAGAGACAGCGAGCTCCATGGGCCCGCCTGAGATTTGAAAGAAGGAGCGCCCGGTGGAGGACGCTGATGACGTTTTACTAGAAGGCGTGAAGCGCGTGGTATATAAGGAGGGACTGTTCAGCGCATGAGCAACGCGTTGTGTGGTGAGAAGTCGAGGACTTGAGTTGTTACTTCCGAGGGCTCTGCCACCCATGTCTCTCAAAGATTGTGAGAGCCTTTCCATGTTTGCATTATCTTGATGGTGATGCACCCCTTCTTGCTGTTGCTGGTGCTCCTGATTCGGGCCTTCCTGACTAAATGAATCCTGTTGATAAGCATACTCTTCTTTCTGTGAGTGTACACGGGCATAGGAAGGACTTTTTCCGCCCTCAGTTGTGTCGTCGTTGGCTCCTAAAAAATCATGCGCTGGGACGCGATCCGACTCGGGGAAAGACTGTAAGCATCCATGTTTGCTATTCTCAATCATGACTGGTTCCTCGTCAAAAGAGAGAAGTAATAAATTTTGGCCCACGGTTGAGGAAGTTTGAGAAGTTTCAGTTGCGGGATTTGCAGTAGTCGGAGAGGACGATGGCGAACGCGATGGCTTTGGGGGTTTAGTCCCACTCTTGACCCCAAGGTTAAGCCTCCTCATCGCGGTCCAGCTTGACACTAGCGATCAAAATTATATGTTAATGAAAATAAGAATAAGAATGCGACAATACAGTGAAAAATGCGAAGCAAGAGCAATTCGTAAAGCACAAAGGTTACCACCATCTGGCCTTCGAGAATGGCTTAGCCAAATGTCGTTTCTCTTTAAATATATCCAGTATATGTTCCCTAGAGGACATAACTTGTCACTCGTGTCGCATTTCAGCGCAGCCCTGGGAGGTGTATAGCTGAAATAAGAGTACAGCTAGCGTGCACACGACAACTAGAGGAACGACGCCAGCGCCATTTTTTTTGATTTTTTGAAAATTTAAACGGTTTTTGAAAAGATACTTCTTGTCAATTTGACATGCCGACCCTACGTGTCGCTATATCGAGAACATGGATGAGACACTGCAGCTAGCTAGAAAATGAGTAATATGATATTTATCGGACTTTATACGCACCTTGTGGCTGGAAAGTCGAACTAAGGCAATGACGGCAGATTGTAGTCAGACAGCGTCCCCCTCTTGTCCGCGGTATGCACACGTGATAAAGCTTCCCCATGTATACCCTGTACTTCCCTGGAATTTTACACACTAACACGACATTTTATTTTGACAGGAAACAATCATAGCCACATTTTATGCCTTTAAGGGTGTACTTGCCCCAATTCGGGTAAACGACGGCTTCCAAAAAAAGGAACTCAGACACAAAAAGTAGATTCCTTACGCAAATTCGAGGGCTACTCATGTGGTGGCCCTTACTGGGAGGAAGTTTTTCCCCTTCCACATCTCTATCTTCTTCTGGTCTTTCGTCGGGTTCATGTGACCGCCCAGGCCAGGCAGCGGGCCGCAAGAAACCGAATCTCCGCTTACTGCTTCCTAAAAGTCAACGCGAAAGGCACGCAAATTTAGATAATGACAAAGCTTCACTATCTGTCGTTGTACCAGCTGCTGACAGCGTGGGATGTCTGACATCCTCTCCCGCCACCTCTCCGTCCTGGAGCAGTTCTGTCAAGCAGTCCTCATCCCCCTCATTTCATCCATTTTCCCCCCCTCGATACAAGAACGACAAGCAACCTCTCGAACAATCAGGTAAAAAGGGTTTAACCTCTATTATCGCTCTTTCGATGCAGCACCAATGGTCGTTGCTCTCACGTCCTCAATGCAAGGTTGCGAGCCCCTTGTCTTCTCCCGGCACCCTGCATGTTGCGGACGGCCTTCGTCTATCTCCCAACCAAAGGTTTCGATGGCTCGACGAAAATTCTGTAACCTTAAGCCCTTCCCATCTGAGACAACATAAGCAGTCCCATCGACTGTTTGCTTTCGCCCACGTACCTTCTCCACTTCATCGAGCCAGTGGCCATGCTATAGGGTCACCACAAAGCAAGAGCCCCCAGTCCTCACCAGCATGCGCACCTCCGCACTCTTCGCCAATTTCCCAAAGCTTGTTTCGATCTCTTCCATCCTTCAGATCCGCGCCGCGCGCGATTTTCATTTCGGAAAAACAATCCGCCGGCAGCACAACAACCTCTTCCTCCACCAACTGTTCCGGCTCCGCTATCACCAGCTTTGCACCTCTTCCCTCTTCAATGTCACCTTCTTCACCGTTTCATTCCCCTGCTCCCTCTCCACGCCAATCTTCTTCTCAAAAGCAGCTATCTCGACGGCCGATGTCAATCCGTGTGGATAATCCACCGGCTTCAGGACCTTTCCACGCGTGCAACACCTCAGATAAGGACGACGTGGACGGGCAGCAACCCACTCCAAGTAGCCCTAATGTCGGCTCCCCCGCCTCCCCTTCCCAGCACTCTTTTCATCCCGACCACAGACAGCACCACTTTACGGAGGATGGCAGCGTCAGACTCGGTGGCTTTGAAATCGGCGTTGGCGGCCTAAGTCCCAGCCCGTCGGAGAGTAATTTCTCTGGGTGCCATTTCGCGCCCCATTCCTCCAGTGGCCTATCCTCTCAAATCAGCTTCGCGAGGGGCGAAGACAAAGGCAAGAATGGTGGCTATGGAGGTAGCCCTAGTCAGGCGAAGATGTCGCACAGGTTCAGTGGGGGTTGTAGCGGTCTGCGAGTCTTGGGCGGAGGGAACGAGAAAGGAGGTTCTAGACTAAGCACGTGCAGTACAGAAGATGGGTGCTCAAACAACCTGGTGGTGGTGGGACGGCTAGGCAGAGGGAATGGAGGAACAGTCATGAAAGCAGTTTACCTTCCAACCATGCGGCTGGTCGCCTTAAAAAGCGTCCATCTCCACCACCCTGAAAAACGACAGCAGATGGTCCAGGAACTCGGCATGTTGTACTCGAACCTCGCCGACATCAACTTCAAGGATGAAGGTGAAGAAGAAGCTGAGGAAGATATTGTGGCGGGTGAGACGATCCAGTCTGCTGCTGAGGGGACCCAATCATTCGGGACGATACGAAAGGCAGAGGAGAAGAAGAAAAAGAAAAGCCATCGCCGGGGTAATTCGATGGGATTGTCGATGGACGCTGGTGAATTTGGAGGCGTGTCCCCTTTTACGGAGGGAAATGAGGGAAATGAAAGCCCCATTGGCGCCTCACCTGAAGATCTGGACGATCGGAACGACGTCAAGAGAAAAGACTCCAGTCTGACAGAGACGGCGGCTCCTCAACCTCTGTATGTGAGCACCGGCGATGAATTATGTACCTCCAAGGAGTTCACCGACCGCATCAAGGTAGATCCTCAAAACCTCCGTCCTAGGCCATCTTTCAATGCAAAAAGCGCTCTTTTTCCACCCCCTTCATTGGCCATAAACGCATCTATTCCCTCCGCTTGCACGAGCAAGATGCGACGCCACAACAAGCAGGCAATGTCTGCCCCTGTGCAATCAAATTTCACACGTGGTCGCCTTGCCTTTTCGCCGCTCCAACCTGCCATCCAATTGCCCTTCCAGCCTACTGCGACATTCGGAAATCTTGCAGTGAAAAGTGATCAGCAGGACGGTTTGAAACCCCGTGAATCTGGAGAAGATGCGGGTATATCCTCGCCGACTACCTTTAAGATTGAAGACAGGCAAATCAAACTTCCTCCCGGTTCACCCATTTCTAAGACTCTAACCTCCCCCTCCACCGATGTCCTACATTTCATGGCCAGTTCTGGACATGTCAGAGATCGGAAATTGCCGGCTGTGGGGTCGCAGGTACGCATGGCTCTTAATGAGAACGCAGCGCAAGCCGCCTCGCAAACATGCCCATACATCGTATCATTCTACGACGTCTTCGCCGACCCGGTGCGGGGAACAGTCAATCTTCTGGTAGAATACATGGATGGTGGATCTTTGGAAGACTTAGTAAGGGCAGGGGGTTGCGACGACGAAGCGGTCTTGGCAAATATGGCGCGGAACATATTGGTGGGTCTGAACTATCTGCACGAACGACAAAAGATACATCGGGACATTAAACCGGGAAACCTTTTGATGAATACCAAAGGTGTGGTTAAAATCGCCGATTTTGGTGTCTCTCGCAATCTTACAGGGACCTCGGATCTCTCCAAGACGTTTGTGGGGACGGTCGGGTACATGAGTCCCGAGCGAATTCAGGGCCACAAATACAATGCCAAGGCCGATGTGTGGAGCTTTGGCTTAAGCCTTTTGGCGTGCGCGTTGGGCGCATTCCCATATGAACGTCAGGTCTCTTCCTTGAGTTATTTTGAGCTTGTCAATGCTGTATGTGACGAACCCAGCCCAGAGTTGCCTCCAGGAGACCGCCGTTTCAGCCCAGAGTTCCGAGATTTTCTCCGGTTATGCCTTTTGAAGAATCCAAGCGAACGACCTTCGGCAGAAAATCTCTTGTTCCATCCGTACGTACGAAAGCATACGGGAGGAGAGTGGTTGAGCAAAGAGGGCGAAAGACCAGTCAAGACAGATTCTGGCTCACCTATGGCAACAACAGCGATCAAATCTTTGAAGGTAAAGAGGGCGGAACTCCATCAGATCGCAGATGCCTTGGCCGTGCATTTTGAACGTCGCCGGCGTTCAAGCCGCTTGGAAAGCATCGGTTCTGCCTCTACATCGGGATCGACAACTGGCCATGTAATGAGTGCGATATCTAATGGAGCTAGTAGAGGTGGTAGCGGTAACCTTGGGGCATGCAATTTGCCTTTTTCTTCCCTCCATCTCATGGATCACGTTACTCCAAGCCAGATCCGCAGACTAGCCGAGACGCTGCACCTTGAAGAGGCCTATGTAAAAGAGACCCTACATATTAAACTCTGCGGTCTTGTCATGTTCCCGGACAAGGAGCTAGATATCGCCTTGCAAGGAGATCGAGGTACAGGAGGAGGAAATATGACAGGTGGTGAGATCAGTGGTCATGCGTCGCGGTCCACCTCATCCTTATCTGTCTCAGCATGGTCTCTTTCCGGTCGATCACTCCATCCTATGTTGGTTCGACGAGCATCATCATTAATTCGCCAAGACACCTGCGGAATCACCGTACACGATGATGACGAACAGAGGTCAAACTTATCTAATTCCTCTTCCTATTCCAGCCTTTTATTGTCACGAAAGAATGGTGTAGCTACTAAATCAAAGGCATCAAATTTGTACAGTGAGAAGAGAAGTGCGAAGTTGAACATGTTGACAAGTAATGATCACATTTTAGCGAGTAAAGCTAGCGATGATAATGACGATATCAAAGGTTTGAGGGGAAGCGAAGATAGTACAGCAGTCGTTCAAGGAGATTTACCTCTAGTAACTTCATCTTCTGAGGGAGTCAATCAATCATTGACCCGCGGATGCTGCGTCGTTAGCTAAAATTTCAAACTCAATAAAAATCATTTGCGAATACCATATCAATGAAATAATTATGCGACACACGACTCGTTCTTCTCTTTACGTCGCAGCAGTCTGGTATGGCCTCGAGACTGTTCGAAATTTTATTTGACCCCCAAGCGATAACATCTCGACACGCTCACATTTTATGAGTGCATACATCAAAACCTCCTATGGCCCCTTTTTCGAAAAACCGTTGTACTCGCAGTTCCAGTCGTCCAGGTGAAACGGTTGGATCGAACCCTGCCGTGGCCTTCGCCACAAATCTGTACAGAAAGGCAAATGATGCGACAAATTAAGAAGAATCCATGAATTCTAGATGTTTATTTGATGAATGGCGTAGCTATGGGTTTTACCTTTGCAGGTTTGGCATGGCTCACTACTTCTGGCTTGGTTAAAGCAATATATTTCACAGTTTTTATTCTTTTGTTTCTGTCATGATCAACAACTTAAAGACAGGTTTAAGATTTGAGTGATCAAAGCATTATAATGAAAACGAGCGCTTCTATTGCTATCCTGGCATGGACTATTTGCTGCTTCATTGCCACTGGACCAATGCCAGTACAGGGCGTTGATATTTTACGCTCACATGGACACCTTCGAGCGACGTCAGATACCTTATCCTCTGTTTTCCGAGGGCTTATGTATGATCATGGCGAAATCAAGGCTCCTGACCCACGTTCAGACGCATCCAGCGAACAAATGATTGATAATGACAAACCAGCCCCGCCGAAGCCTGTGGGTCCCCCCTCAGAACGCGGATCTGATGCTC